CATACGCTCCATTTCTTGATCCAGGTGGTGGTTATGTCAGTATTTGCAAATATAAAATGTAGGCTCTCAGGGTTGTCTGTGCACTTAAGATTTGTTCACTTTATGTACATTGACTCAGTGAATAATAAGGGGGAAATATTGTCCTAAGGTTGTTCTCAGTCTATGAGCAAGAAAACTCTTGTATTTTTTTTTTTTATTTTTTTAAAAAAACTCTTGTATTTTGTTCAAGCCAATAATCTTCTTGAGTTAGAGGTTGTCCATGGGGGGATCGAAAGCACCAGGGCTTTTCAAGTGTACCCTCCTCTTCAAGACTTACACCACTGGATCTGTGGCCTGGCCGCTGGCCAGTGTCTGTCTCCCTACAGGGCTTTCTCTTTGCCCTTTCACTTAGCTAGTTGGAGTGGATAACACCAGACTTTCATGTGACTCCCCTTTGTCAAGGTCCTCTGTGTAAGGACTCTCATCGAGGTCTTTCCTCTGGTGACCCACCTCCGAGCCCTCCCCCCGGCCTCGGTCATCCCCAGACCAGCCTGCAGGGTCCCCTAAGTTGGAGGCAATAGCTGCCTCATTCCATGCAACCAGCTTACTCCTCTGGTACCTTAGTCTGGGGCTACTACTGCCTTCATTCTTTATTCTGCCCTGATTTGAGCATATCCTTTCCCCAGAATTTGACTTCTTTTGTCCTTTAAGCTGCCCCTAGTAATTTTAACTGAATTTCTGATGAGGTTAGACATCTCTTTCCTTAGGCATCATCTCAAACTCACCCAGGGGTGGATGTGGGCAGGGTTATGGATTCCCACCTTTTCTTTTACCCAGAAGAGGAGGAGGAGGACGCAGGGGTGGGGGCCACAGCAGATGGTACCTTCAGAGGTCTTTACTCAAAGTTCCAATTTCAACGAGTATGGGATTTCGCTTACTCACAGCTCTGGCCTTAGTAGCTATTGCCTGCAAGATGAAATTTGACAGAGTTAAAAGATAAAGATGACTCTTTGAATCAGATGCCTCTACTCTAGGACAGGATTATGGTGTTTCTGATTTGGCAGTTTCAGAATTGACTCTTATTTTATGGACTAAGTGCTCTTTTCTGTCCCTCTGCACATGTCACACTTCACCTCGTCCCAGGCTCTCACTGTTAGAATCTCAGCCTTGAAACAGAACAGAACAAAACAAAAAAACACACAAAAGTGGAATCCCTTTGTTGGCATTTCTCATCCACTGTGAAACCGGTTGTCATAGCAATGGCTGCCCCCGCAGACATTTCATCATTTGGGGTTCCCATCAGGTTTCTCTTTTTCTTTCTTTCTTAAATAGCAACAGCCAACACTGCTTTTAAATACACTGTTGATATATCTTAACAGCCTCTCTTGTCATTTTTAACTGGGCTGCATTTGCTTCTAACTTTAGGTACAATTAGTCTTGCCCTGTAAGTAAAGCTAACTTCCCAGGAAGCTGGTGTTGGTTTGCTTTCAGTCTTATTGATTGTTGGATTCGATGTATGATGAATACATAGATTTGTAGGGAAGCTCTATAAAAGCAACATGGGAATTGAGTTCCATGACTTACAGCTACCTTTATCTTATTTTCTGAGATTTTGATGTTTTTCTTTGTTGTCTTGGTTTTATTTTATGAGCTTGGCATATTCATTATTTTAGAAGTGTTAGTGACAGGAATAGTACACTTGAGTATTTAACAATTAACCAGAAGTTTGATGTAATATTTAACTAGCGTCTTCCTGGACAGCTATATAATTCTTTATAATTTACTAAGAACCAAATGAATTAGATATAAAAATTTTAGATTTAAAAAAATTAGATATAAAATGAATTAGATATAAAAATTTTAGATTTAAAAAAATTAGATATAAAATGAATTAGATATAAAAATTTTAGATTAAAAAAATTAGATATAAAAAATTTTAATTATTGTTAATATGCTTGGGAAAGTTGTAGAATTTTTTTGAACTTTAGTATGTTAAATAAAAGTCTGAAGGCAAAACCTAAACTTGTTAGTCATCCTTAACTCAGGGCTGTGGATGAAGGCAGTGGTTCCCCGCTAAAGAGCTGAAGGGGTGGCCAGGGGCAGCACAGCCAACCACTTGTAAATGTAACCAGGTGAGGCTGCACCAAACCCAACTGCTCCCTGCTCAGAAGGCCAGTACTCAAGAGACAAGAGTTGGTGGAAAAGGGAAAATTACTTTATTCGGGAGCTCAGCAGCCTGGGAAGATAGTGCACTAATGTCCTAAGATCATCTCCAAGTTGCCAGTTGGGAGACAAAGGTTTTAAAGACAGTGAAAGTGAGGGGGCTGCGGGGTGTGTACTCAGCTTGTGCACAGTCCTTATACTGATTGGTATCAAGGTAAAGTTTCCAGCATCACCAGTCTTCTAGTTTCAACCCAGTCGGGGGTCTCCATGCTTATGGTCAGCAGTTCTCATCTGATGGGGTCCTGATTTCAGCAAAAACAGGTCTGAGTCAGACCTTTCTATCTTTCATGGAACTGGGAGTTGAGTGATTGTGGTTTATAGTCTAAATTATTACCAGTTTCCTGGCCCAAAAGCCATTCTTTGTTTCTACATCGTCATATTTCCTAATCATTAACTCTTGAGCCAGCCTTTTGAGACGCAGGGGAGACCTAGGAAACTAAAACACGTTTCTATATAAACAAGTTTCTCCTATAAACAAGAGGCAGGTGGAGGACACGGGGATGGGGGATTGGTCAGGTGGCATAACAGTCTCAGACACTTGGTCTTTCCTGGAAAGGCTCCACAAGCTCCTGCCTTGTTACTTTGATACTCTTCAATCCTGAGAAGGAACAGCTGTGAAACAAGAAAGGGAATAAAGTTTTGGATAAGGAGATTAATTACCAGTTCAGCATGGAACTCAGTTTCAGGGGATTCGATTTCATAAAGGGGTCTCTGCGTCTGTCCTGGTCTGTCCCTTTCCCCACCAGAGATACCCGCCATCTTGGAGATCGGTGCTGTGGAAAAGATAGAGCGTTGCCCCTTCAGAGCTGGCTTCTTATGTGCTCCCTCCTGAGTCTTCCTAGCTCAGCTCCTCAGTTCTCTTAGGTCCCAGAGATGGGGCAGTAGCTGTTCTCACCAGTCCTGGCTACCCAGGCTTGCTGATTGCCAGCACCAAGGTTATAGGCCTGGCATCTAGCCTGGATTCAGTCACTTGCCAGCGGTGTGATTGGCCAAGTGACCTAACTTCTTGGAAACTTGGCTTTTTCCCTGTAAAATACACGTAACATCCATCCCATCAGACTTGGATGAAATGAGACACTGTGTGGGGAATCCGTATTAAAGAGCTTGGCAGTTAGTAGTGTGGACTCACCTAATGGCCATTGTTCTAGTTTTGTGTTTAGTTGTTCAGTTGTGCCCACCAGGCCCCTCTGTCCAGGAACCAAACTGGGGCCTCCTGCATTGCAGGTGAATTCTTTACCAGCTGAGCTACCAGGGAAGCCCTTACTAGTACACTAATAGATGATATGGAAAATTCTGCCTTTCCCCATGGTTTCTGTTACACCACGTAATTATTTTTAGAAGATGTCTCCAGACATCTTTGTTTGGTAGAACAATTTGTTTGGTAGAACAAATTCCCCAACCCCATCCCCTCAAAAAAACAGAAAGGGATTTTTAAAAAATTGGAGTAAAATATACATAAAATTTTTTAACCATTTTCAAGTATATAATTCAGTGACATTTAGTACTTTCACAATATACTACTTCCAGAACATTTTAATCACCATTAAAGGAAACCCTGTAGCTGAACTCTATTCCTCAAATCCCCCAGCCCCTGACAACCACTAATTGGCTTTCTGTCTCTATGGATTTGCCTGCTCTGGATGTTTCATATAAATAGAAACATATAATATGTGGTGTTTTTTTTTTTTTTTATGTCTGGCTTGTTTCATTTATCATAATGTTTTAAGGGTTCATTTATGTTATAGCATGTGTCAGTACTTCATTCCTTTTAATTCCTGAATAATAATTCCATTGTGTGAATACACTGTTTTATTCTGTTTGGGCTGTTCTAACAAAATGTCACAGACTGGATGGCATATAAGCAATAGAAATTTATTCCTCACAGGACTAGAGGCTGGAAGTCCAAGATGAGAATGTCAGTATGGTCAGAGTACCCTCTTTAGGTGGCAGGCTTATGGTAGCCTCACAAGGTGGAAGGGGCCGGAGACTTCTGGGGTCCCTTTCATAAGGGCAGTAATTCCATTCATGAGGGCTCTTCTTTCAGAACCTAACACCTCCCCAAACGCCTACCTTTTAATACAATCTCGTTAGGCATTAGGATTTCAACATATGAATTTGGATGGAGGGGTTGGGGGGAGGCACAAACATCCAGATCCCTATCATTTACAGTATGTAATTTATTCATTCATCAGTTGATGGACATTTGGGTTATTTCTACCTTTGGCTATGTGAGTAAATAGCTTTGCTGTGAACCTTCTTGTACAAGTTTTTGTTAGAATACTTTTTTCAATTCTTTTGGTATATACCTAGGAGTATTAAGTGCTGAATCATAGGATAATTCTATGTTTAACATCTCAAAATCTGCCAGACTGTTGTCAACTATAGCTGCACCATTTTTAATTTCTAGCAGGATTACCTGGAGGTCCCAGTTTCTTCCAACACTTGTTATTTTTCAGGTTTTTCATTATATCTATCATCATGGGTGTGAAGTGGCATCTCACTGTGATTTGGGATTTTTTTTATGGTATAGATTTTCTGTGTCTGGACTCAGATTTTCTACTAATGTTCTTAAGCTTGTCATATTGCAAAGCTACATGAAGAACCATGTATGTGAAAAACCGCTGCCATAATTTCCAATAAGAGATAGGTATAAAGCATCTTTTCCTTCCCAGTCACTTATGTGACTAACCATCATGACTCTGTAGTGTAGATAAACCACTTTCAGACATTCAGTGGCTAATTATAGATGATATCTGATGTCTGGGACCTTCTTGCTAATTCTTTTATTTTGGTTTTAGGGATTTCCTTTAGGGCATCCAAAATGCTTTTAAAACATATTGGATAAAAGCTGAGCCACCTGCCTGTGTGGAACTTCCATACTCCCTGCTCCACTATCTTCTGATGGCATTCTGACTACATTGAGGCCAAGTGACACGCTATTCAAGATGAGTGATGAGAAGAGCCTTGCAGTATCCCAAAAATTGGTCTCACCTTCGAGGAGCACAAGCAGCTGCTCTTCCAAGCAAGGAAGTCGGCAGGTAAAGTTTAATGGAAATTTTAAGAGCAAATTTAAATCAAGAAATTTGCAGATTAATATGTGTACATTTACTTGGGAACTCCTACTTCTCATTTTAGGGACATTTGATTTTAGTTTTATCTTAGTTATCTGAGAGGAGTAAATTTTATATAATTTTCATAATGCAGCTTGAGAGTCTGCTGGATGGGAAAATTTGTATCTGGCTCTTTGCGTTATTTTATTCAATTGTTGCCACTGTTTTCCAACACAGATATTGATATTCCTGTTTTCTCTGTAAGGAAGCTGAGTCAGACCAACCAAGTTATTCTGCCTGAGGACACACAGATTGTCTATTAAGTGGCAGAAACAAGAAACCAAAGCTCATTCTGTTTGACTTCAGAGCTCACACTTTCTTTTACACCCCCGCTAACCAAAACAAAAAAGCAAACAATCACTTTTCCAGTAATTATAATATTCTCCTGCCCTCCTTTCCTTCCCTTTACCAAACCTTTTATGACTGCTTCCAATCACAGAATGCCCCCTTATAACTTGGAGTCTCACCTGCTTCACTTCTCTAATGGGCATGGAAAGCAAGTCAACAGAGAAGTGGTCAAAAGGAATTAAGTAGGAAGAAGTGAAACAAAGGATTAAATAATTAACTCCTAAATAACTGTCAGCTAATTATATGTTGTTCCTTGGTATCCTTTCTTAAAAAAAACCCCTGTTGGCAGAATTTGCTGATTTTAGATCCATGGCAGTAAATGCACATTAATCATTATAATTCTTTCACCTTCAGTTGAGAGTGGGCTGTCCAAAAGCTGCGAGTTTAACAGTCAAAGTGGTCTCAGAGCCTTTTCAACGTCTGCAGGCTGTGCTGGCCTTGCCTTTCCTCCATGGGACTCACTGACCTAAATTGACCCTGAGTCCTTGATTCCAGATTTGGAAGCAACAATCAAGCAACCACCCACCTCCGGCACATGCACACATTTATGACACAGCATCACAGGTCTTTGCATTCCAACACTGCCTCGGACAGAGAGCTTGTCGCCTCTCAATACTGCTTCATAGCATTAGAATCTATAATTCCAGACAAATGAGATTTTGCCATAGGGGCATTTGGGGAGTTCTCCAAGATCTCCCCTGAGGGGTTAGGAAGAATAATTTTTTCATCCATTACTGTCATCACCTCCTTCTGGGGTTAAAAACAAATGACGAAAATTACTCCTTGTCTAATGCATCATGTGCTGTGCTGTGCTGTGCTTAGTCGCTCAGTCATGTCCAACTCTTTGTGACCCCATGGACTGTAGCCCTCCAGGCTCCTCTGTCCGTGGGATTCTCCAGACAAGAATACTGGAGTAGGTGGCCATGCCCTCCTCCAGAATACATCATGGCTCCCTAGGAATTCTAGTTTCATGAGGGTAGCTAATCTCACCCACTTTGTCAGCTTTGCATGGGGGCGTTTCTTTCTGTCAGCCACAAATCTGGTTGGGATTAAAAGTGTATTATTTTCCCCCAGTGTTTTGCACTTAGTAGCATCTATTCCTGTGTCCTCCTTGGATAAAGGGATAGCATGTGATTCATTCAAGCAGCCAGTGCTTATATATAACAGCATAGCAGTTGGAGCAGGGAAATGAAATTCTAGGACTCAATACCACAGAAACATGTTTTTGATGTGTTACTGGAAACTGATTAATTTGGTTTTTCACAGAGCTTTTATTTTTGAGTTCCAGCATAAAGAGTAAGAATATGCGTAATGCCTCACTGTTTTTTCTGACTTAGAATGGGTTGATCATTCAGCCATTCATTCACCGAATGGTCATCTTTTATATTTAGGATCTCTCAGTTTAATGTGCATGTAATTTCGCTTTATAAATATCAATACGTACTTTTCCTCTGTGGCAGAAAAGATGGAGAATTTAATAAGTTTATTCCAACTCTGGGTCTTCCCTGGTGGCTCAGTGATAAAGAATCCACCTGCAACGCAGGAGACACAGGTTCGATTCTTGGGTTAAGAAGATCCTCTGGAGGAGGGAGTGGCAACCCACTCCGGTATTCTTGCCTGGAAAAAATCCCACGGACTGAGGAGACTTGCAGGCTCCAGTCCATGTGGTTGCAAAGAGTCAGACATGACTGAAGCAACTGAGCATGGTAGCTCAGCAAGGCATTCCAACTTTAACCCGAATCTCATTATGGTGGTGGTGCTGGTTTAGTTGCTAAGTTGTGTCTTACTCTTGCGACCCCATGGACTGTAGCCTGCCAGGCTCCTCTGTCCATGGGATTCTCCAGGCAAGAATACTGGAGTGGATCACCATTTCCTCCTCCAGAATCTAGTTATCAAGCCATGTTTATTTTTTAGGGATCTTTTCTTATTATGTCCATTTTTCCATCCTTCTGTCAAAATAATTGTTCTGTTACAGGATTGGCTCAGCTTTTCCCTCTGTGTTGTCCACCTTGGCAATTCATGTCCATTTCTCCATCATACACCATCCTACGATTGTCTTTTAGTCTCTGAACATGCTGCAGAAATGCAGGGTCCATGGAAGCTCTTACTTTATGACTCTTAGGGAACACAGCCTGATCCAGGGGTTTTTCAGATTCTAAATATAATGATCATGCTGTATTTCCAATCTCTGGATAGTTCAAGTTCAACATTTAAAACTTAAAGATTTATGTATAATAAGAAATTTCATTTGAGGAATTTTAAAATACAGCCAATGAAGATAATCTGTGTAACAACCTGCTTGTTTTTAAAGCTCCAGATGAAAGTCATTTTTAGGTTCTGTACATTCCATCTGGAGGAGGTAAGTCAGATGTTAAATTTACTGGCCATCTTCGTTAATGCTAGTGTTTCTCATGTGCTTTGAAATTACAGTTTAGGGTGTGATTCTGCACTTGCTTTCCCCGTATCCCTCTCTCTATACTTATCTTGCCCTAGCTCAGAATTTCCTGTTACCTACTTCCTATCTCTGATGACAGCAGTCCAGAGTACAATCTTCTGTTTGTAGCTGGGACCTCTGTTCACATCAAATATGACTATCTAAGAACCACTATCAGGCCAGCACGCAGCGTGGTCAGGTCCTGGTGCTGAGGCTGTCTGCCTTCTGCCATCTCCCTGGATAGGCAGATTATAAAGTCTTTCATTGTAGTATATGGCTCCCCCCTCCACATTCTCTGATTTCCAGCGGTAAGCTAGCTCAGGTCTCAGCCTTTTTCTGGGGATATTTTTAGCTTTATGAGCACACAGGAGTAGAACTCCTGGACACCTCTGTCTGCAGTATTCTTTGCATTTCTATTTTGTGTCTTATCCATGAGATAATCAATCTTTTTTTTTTTTTAAAATCACACAGACATACCAAAGGGGAAAAACCCCTACATTTTTATATCTTTGTATATTTTTCATGGGAGCTCATGTGGTGATAGGGAAGTGGCACTAAATGTATAAACTTTCAGTACAACCTTGGCTGAAAGACTTGGTCTTCTAGAGTCATTTTCATATAAATTCTCATCGACCATCACCAGGTGACATTAGGTCTCTGTATGCCAGCCACCTGTCTGTCTTTCAGTTCCTCCCACTGAATTTTCCCTTGTCCTTGTTTCTTGAACTGAACTTGAACTTGTTTTTCCTATCCGAGAACCTCCTCATATAAAATCTCAAGGAGCCCTCATTTATGTGTGGATACTCTCCTTTCTAAATATCTGTTAGAGGAGTTTGCTCCCTTAAAGGATAAAATGATGAGATCTGGGTGTTAAATGTGATCTGTGTTTTTCACTTCTACAAATTGAACCTAAGATGTAGTTTACAACTTATAGCCTTGAAAACCCAAGCAGAAGAGTTCTGTGACCTTTTAACTTGAATACTAGGACTTTTGAAGTTTTATATACAGAATGCCTCATTTGTCAATGGGAACAGTCCATAAATACACTTTTATCAAGATAATTTTAGAAAGTTATGCCTAATGATTAGAACTTGAACTCTCCAATTTTGGTTCCACTTGATATTTGTTTCTGCAACCTTAGATTCTCTAAAACTTCAGTTTTCTCATCAATGAAATTGGAATAATAGTTCTTTTCTCATAGGATTATTGTTAGGATTAGAACTAAAGCATTTAATCTAGGGTTAGATTCATAGTAGGTGTTGAATTCATATTAACATTTAATTTTATTATAGTTAACATTACTTTGAATTTAATTCCTATTTGTAGAAAACCTGAAATTTCATAGTGAAGAGTTCTACTTTGTGTCCCAGAAACTTTTGCAGCTATCATACATGTCCCTACCCATACCTCTGTAGTATTGGGCAGAAGTCCACGGAAGTGTACAATGTGTATATGAATGTGTACTTTTTAAATGTATCTTATTTTACACACATTAACAAAGTACTTTTAGAGAAGAATGTAACAGAATTTAAAATATATACACTACATTTGATATATTGAACATCTGGCAGAATCTGTACCTAAAACAAGAGCAAACAGGAATTAAATTCTTACTCTATTCTGTTTTGCTCGGCCTTGTCCTTGCATGGGTGTGTGTGTTTTCACTTTTCCCCGTGCCAGCACCTAGCTATTGGTAGTTGCTACTTAGAGCGTTATGTTGAGAAGAAGTATTGTGCAGTTGAGTCTGGGTTCAGTGAGAGAGAATGCCATGTTTTCTGCTACGGCCGTGGGCACAGGCAGGGTAAACAGTAGCGTGGGTGCCACATTTTCACCCCATAGTGATATTCAGTTCAGTTCAGCCACTCAATCGTGTCTGACTCTTTGCGACCCCATGAATCGCAGCACGCCAGACCTCCCTGTCCATCACCAACTTCTGGAGTCTACTCAAACCCATGTCCATCAAGTCGGTGATGGTATCCAACCAACTCATCCTCTGTCGTCCCTTTCTCCTCCTGCCCCCAATTCCTCCCAGCATCAGAATCTGTTCCATTGAGTCAACTCTTCGCATGAGGTGGCCAAAGTACTGGCGCTTCAGTTTCAGTATCAGTCCTTCCAGTGAACACCCAGGACTGATCTCCTTTAGAAT